AGGTGACAAAGTAGCCCCAGACCCGGGGTAATTTTTATTTATTTTATTTTCGAAAAATAGGTAAAACTATGAAAATTTTCACTTACCATTCGATCCGGAATAGTCCATTTGGTATACTAAAATTTATTTGAAGTAATTCTCTTAATAATGTGTCACAAAACATGACAAGTAGCCCCAGTTGGCGGTAAATCGTTACAAGAAACGAATGAGTATACCATACGATAGTTACAGACGCGTTACACCAGAAAGCAGCACTAAACGAGGCGTTTTAGCAACTAATTTCGGCGAATTTTAAATAATCATTTACAAGAGATTAGACGCTTAAATTTGGGGATTATATTAAGAAAAGTGCTGTTATGGAATGCATTTATTTTAATTATATTTCAAAATTTAAAGCCCTTTGATTTTTTTTCTTTGAAACTGGAAGGAACGAAAACTTCAAAATATATGCATATTCTAGATATTATTGCCCAATTCATTTTGCCAAAATTTGAATTTTTTTAAAAAATTACTTTTTGAGATATGCTTGTCCGAAAATTATAAGGAGTGCTGTAATCACCTTAAGAAGATAATGAATATTTAAAAAGTTTGACAAATTTATTTTTTTTTAGCATAAAATGTAGTTTTTTTATCACGCAATTTAATTGCATGTCCCATTTAAAATGGCAGTTTATTACTGCGTTTGTTTATCCACATAGGTTGCATCTAAGATATTGTGGATCTTTGATCAGGTGATTCAAGATACATAAATGCAGTTGGAGTAGTTATAAGCTGTGTAGATGTGGAAAATCAAACGCTTGAGGTGTAAAAAATGCATTGGATGTGGATACTTAAATATAGCATATATACCGGGTGTCCCAAATTGTTTTACCAAGGCAATAACATCTAAACTCAAACTTATTTTGCCCTTCGCCCACTTTAAGAATAAACGTTTGTAGCGCATCCAAATTTTTTATGGGTCCTTATTTTTATGAAAAAAATAGGATATCGTGATTTTTTAATTAATACTGTTCCTAATTTATTGCAAGGTGTTCCTCTTAATGAAAGACGTCATGGTGGCAGCAATATTTAGCACACCTCATATTGCACAAATAGCTAATATTTGACAACACTTCTGGTGTAAACTGGTGTAAATCGTTGCAAAAAACGAATCATGACTGAGAGTGTACGATAAGATAGTTACAGGCGCGTTATACCAGGTAGCACTTAACAAGGCGTTTTAGCCACTAATTTTGACGAATTTAAAAAATCGTTATCAAGACATTAAGAGCTTAAATTTTGGAATTATATTAAGAATGGTGTTGATGAGAAATGCATTTATTTTCACTATGATATTTCAAAGTTTAAAGCTCTTTGATTTTTTTTATCGGAAACTGAAAGGAATTAAAACTTTAAAATATACGTATATCTAGATATTACCTAATTCATTTTGAAAAAAAATTAATTTTTTAACAAAATTACTTTTTGAAATATCCTTGTTCGAAAATTATAAGGGGTGCTGTATTCAGTATAAGGGACTGGGAGTTTAATCATGTAATGTCGTCACCGACATACGCACAGTCAAATGATACGGCTAAACGCAGAATACAAACTGCTAAAAATATTTAAAAAAAAGTAATTAAAGATAAAGACATATACTTAGGTTTACTCTTGTAAAGTAACAAGGAAATTGACCATTTACCGTTAGAAATCCTAAGACAGTTAAAAGCAAAAATTATAAACACAAGTAATTTCAATAAACATTTAGATAATAATAAAGACAAAATTAGAGAGCAATATTATAATAAAGGCTCTCAGTCAGTTAATACATGGCACAAAAATATATGTTCAAATTTAATTAAAAGTTTCTATCAAAAAAGGAAGGTTACTATATAAAACTATAATTTGGTTAGTTAACTTACAGCCTAGTAATAATATTGTTTTGGTCCTTATTTTTCATCTAAACCCACTTTTTTGAATATAAACACAATACAAGTTGTTGAAAATAAATTAATATAATTTTCCATTGGCAATAAAATAAATAAAGTTACGCATATGCAACTAACAATATAAGAATGTAATATCGGTTGCATAAATGTGAAATATTTTACTAAAACACAATTTTATAAATAATCTGCTCAAAATTAGAAAAAATATTGTATGTAACACGTTACGAAATGAAGTTTTGTGTAACTCATTCATTTTGCGGGACCTCGCTTTATTTGTTCCGCAAATATACACTAATTACATAAAATGAGGAATTTCGTAACTGGTTGCATAAATAGCTATTCTATAATTTTTGTAAGAGTTTTGTAGTAAAAGAAGTTGACACTGGTCTTAAAGTCAGGTTCAACGGTAGTTTTGAATAATTCCCAGTTTTGATTTTTTATCTTTTGACCACCTTGTATGAGCATTGATTATATAAATATAAACAAGAAATAATTATTCAAAAATATATAATTTTATTTAGTTTACATTTTTATTATAAAATGAATAAAACTCAAAGCCAATATCACATAAATAACAACGACCGTTTCCCTTCAGAAAACAACTACTGCTTTGGCTAATACCGCAACAGGTATTGAATTATATCCGAAGGAAACACAGCAGAGATAGAAATTAAATTTCAACACTCTCTACCTTTGATTTTGCTCACTAAGGAGAACATCATCGGTCCAAGAATGAAAGGAAAAGGTCGTTGTTATTTGTGTGATATTGGCTTTGAGTTTTATTCATTTTATTTTACGTCTATCACATTTGAGTTTGATTTATTTTCGTTTTTGCAAATTTTTATTACCATTTCCATCCTGTATTTTTATTGGAGGGTACTCCTGTTAAATAAATAAACAAAAAATATTTGTTTTGTTACAGATGGGAGGTTTGGAATGCGTCATAACTGGATTAATGGACGAATTTTCCGGTTTTTTCAAAAACAAAAAGTATTCCAGGGAAATTTTTACGTTAGCAATTATAATTTGCTCATTTTCTGTGGCTCTAATTAATGTTACACCGGTAAGACATTAATAATACTTTGTGCAAGAAATGTGTACATGATTGCCGTATGGATAAAGAAAATCCACTAGAGTTGTATATATTTTTTCTACGACCTACTAACAAAAATCTACAAATTTTAAAAATTTATTGAGGTTATTAAAATAAAATGACCATTTTAAAAATAATTTATGTCTAATTTATAAAATTAAATACCCTTTGAAAAATAAAAATTAGTCTTCAATTCTGGATTTGTAGCCTGGACCTTTCGCATGGCAACTATAATAAGTTTTAAATAGTCTTATTAAAATTAACGATTTATTTGTAAATATAGACAAATATTTTGTGTAAAACTATCATTAATCGATTTTTCATAAGAATCTTAATTATTATATTTAATCTTAATAACTAAAAAAAATACTGACAAATGGTTTGGTAGAATAGTCACTCATTTTAAGTAATAAAAAAATAGATAATTATAATAATATCAATTGTGATTGGTGGATTTTATGTTCGTACAGTGGTCCTTGCCCTTACTAGAATGAATATGAAAATATATTCATTCAGTAGAACGCAATGGCAGACTTTTTCGTTCTGTAATCTGTGCGTAGAATGTAGGCGTGAAAAAAGGAAAAATTAGACCAGTTTATTTTTTTTAACAGGTGGATATTTTATTTGAACATAATATATTTGTTATTTTAGGGAGGAATTTATATGTTCCATTTATTTGACACATATTCAGCTGGTGTGTCATTGCTTTGTTCCGCCATTTTTGAGGCTGTAGCTGTTTCGTGGTTTTATGGTAAGTCATATAATAAAAATACTTATTTTCCTTAAATACAGGGTGCAACAAAATGGCAGGTCTTAAATTCTATCAGATATTCTGTAGTCGGTTAAAACTAAGGCCAATTTTATAATTGAACTTTAACTTTAAAGTTTCCTTTAAAAGAAATTAAATCATAATGTTGATTTTGCTGATCTCTCTACTTCTGCTCTTTTTAAATACAAGGTGAGTCCTAAGTTCATACATTTTCCAATTGTGTATAGAAGTCATTAAAATAAATAACTTTTTTCTACTACCGTGCGTAAAGCACATACTTTACGCACTCCACGGAGTAAGTAAAATTGTACTTGTTTTTACTATTGCGTAAAGTGAAAAAAAGGTATTTTAGTAAACAAAGTAACTTTTATATTTCTAATATTAGTGGATAATGTGTAGGCAGTAGAACAAATATTGTATGCAACTCGTGTGTAAAGTCCCTTTTTTGACTCATGTGACAACATTCACATTCGTCAAAAACGAGTAACTTTACACACTTGCTGCATAAATAACTATTTTCAAAAAATTAAAAATAAGAAACTTACATTATTTTATTCCTAAATGTATCCAATACGGTCCTGTCGGTAAAATTAAATTTTGATCAGATTCATGTCGATGTAAAGATAATTTACAAAGCTAAACTCTGCGGGAAAATCTTCAAGTTGAAGTGCTTGAACATGTTGAATGTGAAAGAAATATAATTGATTTTCTCGCAATGTTGTCGATACTTTTCTTAGACTTTCTTACCTGATCTGCAGTCACCCGCAATAACCTTTAATTTACTATAAATACTGAACAATTATTAACTAGGTACACATGATTGGGTTACCATATTCAGTACACATTGAATCGTGATTCATACGTAAGAAAAAACCAAAAAAGTGATAGAAACATAATTACCTTAACTTTTAATACGCAAGTCCAGGCACGGATTTACAATTTATAAATACTATATGTTCCTTATTTTTAAGTTTTTTTGTAAAACATTTTAATTTTATTGATTTCTATACATAGTTTAAAAACTATCAACTTTAGTTTCACCTTGTATAGGTAAATTGGGTCTTACGGACCTATTTTTAATTCCACAATATCTGGTAAATTTATGAAATATCTTTTTGCTATAATCGATTTAATTTATTTCAATATGTACATTATGTACTCTAAATTATATATTTTATTTAAAAAAACATTCAACTTTTTTAGGACTAGACAGATTTTCCGAGGACGTGGAAGCCATGTTAGGTATAAAACCAGGTCTGTACTGGCGAATTTGTTGGAAATTTGTAAGCCCTTCATTTATTATAGTAAGTATATCATAAAAAGCCACTTTCTTACTATATAAGTTTGTGCAACAAGAGTGGATATGGACAATTCACTCGAGTTGTAATGTATATAATGAAAAAATAAAAATTTAAAAAATCATTTTACGTTATTAACACAAAATAACTAATTTTAAAGTAATGTATGACTTGTACTAATTTATAAAATAAAATAAGCATGATTTACAATATTTTGGTACGTTTTAACATTGCAATTTTACAAGAAATATGTAAAATTAGATGATGGTAGTCTTATTACCATGTAATCTTAAATGATAAAAGTGTTTTTACAATAACCTCGTGAAAATTTAAAGATATAAGTTGATTCACAAATGCCTTGTAAATGTACAATATTCATAAGTTCGCTTTAACAATAATTCTGTAAAATTACATTATTGCTGTAAGTAATAGAAAATTAAATGACTTTTACAACAATCTTGTAAAAATAAAAGTATATATTAACCTATATACTAACAAATAAATTTACAAGTAAATTTCAAATAAATCACAAGGTAAAATCACAACTTGTAAAAAAATTACAGGATTATATTACACACTTGGTTGTAAAAATACAGATAACTGACAAGGTAAAATCACAATGTGTAAAAAATTACAGGGTGATATTACTCAGTAAGTTGTTAAAATACAGATAATCCACAACGTAAAATCACAACTTCTAAAAAAATTACAGGGTAATATCACATACTAAGTTGTAAAAATACAGATAATTTACAAGGTAAAATCACAACTTGCCAAAAAAATTACAGGGTTAAATAACAATAGTGTGTATAATATACTACTTACATGTGGAAATACAGTGTTTTCTGTATAATAAATATTACAAGCTTATTTTGAATTTTAAACTAACCAATGTGTTTTTACAGTAATTAATACAATTTTACAATGATTCAGTGTAAATATCATTCTCAAGATACTGTGAAATTACAGTCAAAATCACTGGCCACAAATAATTAATGATTTTAGCTGTAATTTCATTATTCAGTGTTTCCAGGGTATATTTAATCTTAATAACTAAAAAAATATACTGACAATTAGTTAGACAGAATTGTCACTTATTTAAAATTTTAAAAATAATAGTCTCCAAAATATGAACTGTGATTGGTGGATTTTATTTTTTTTGCAGTGTTCTTACTACCTGTAATGAATATAAAATACATTCGTTCATTTGAACTTAATAGCATATTTTTTCATTTTGTAGTCTGTATGCATGAATAAGCCAATATCCATATCCAATAATTTTCATAAAAATATACAAATATTTTAATTTTTAGTGTGTTGTAATGTTCGGCCTCTTCCATCATCAACCTCTTCAATACAATGAATACTTGTACCCACCTTGGGCAGAATGGGTTGGTTGGGGACTCACACTGTCTTCAATATTGATGATACCCCTTTTTGCATTAATACAAATTGCAAAAACGAAAGGAACTTGTATGGAGGTAAGTTACTTTAATAGTTTGAAGACTGATTAACTTATTTAGTATCGTATGTGTCACACAATCCTTATCACAACCACTTACTATTGCAATTAATCATTTCGCATTTTTACCCCGTTGGTATAAGATCAGTGCAAAATTTGTGGTGTAATTTTATTTAAATTTCTCTAAAAAAGCCGAATATATTTATAAAATGTATGTTTTACATTTTGGTGGATACGTTAGTCATGACACAAAATTATATTTTTTGTTTAATTGTTTTGGATTAAAGCAGTGAGGTGTAATCACGAGGATCCAGGCAATCCCTGTGGTTAATCAATTTTATTTTAGTTCTCTTTCACCTTGGAATTGGGGGTATGGGAATGTTTATTTTCAAATTTTCAGAATTATTTTAAATTTTAATAACTTTTAAATTGATGAAGATCGATAGAGGATACCAGAACCATTCAAACCTATCCATTTTTTCTACATTTGTTAAAATAAACAAAACGTTTTAACAATTATTTTTAATGAAAAGGAGATAACTAATTTTTTGTTTACAGAGATTAGCTATTAGTATTTCACCTATAGAAGAACACGAAGAAATTAGGAGAACCAAATTAGCCAGACGGTTTAAAGCAAAACATTGGTTATTCGTGTAAAAAATGTAAAAATATTTACATTGCCACTAATTCGTAATGAATATACGTTAGGTGATACCAAAGGAAATGTTGTAGCCTTCAACTTTTCCCGAAGTAGACCAGAGAAAAATATGGAAAATGATAGGCAAGGAACGAAATAGTATATTAGGTACTAGTGTCGAATTGGATTTCTGCACAAGTAGCACGCTATACTTTTTCCACGACCATAATGACTAAAACACGAATCGCAATTTTTATGTGATTTGATCTAGTGGTCTCAATTACTGTTAAAGAGACGTTTATGGTAATACATAATTTTGGTAAACAAATATTTATTAGTTAGGATGCTTTACCAAAATTGTTTCAAGAACGAAATTTAGGACTTTCCTTGTATAATTTCCTGTAATTTTGGTGAATCTACTGTAATAAAATAATAGAGTTATTTGTATATATTTCGAAAATCGAGGCAATCATTTGAACAATATATTTGTCGTTTAGAAAGTAGTGATAAGTGGAATATTCTGATTAAGATGTTAATTAATATATTTTGTAAATACATTTTGTAAAGTAATTAGAAAATAAACGTAAAAAATTGTAAAAAATACATTCTAATCAAAGTATTCCGAGAAGAATGTTGGATTTAAGTGTCATTAAATGTGTAAATCGTAAGTGGCCGTAGAGCTGGGCTCTGTGGTACACCACTTATTTAAGAAAATATATTTTAGGTAAGAATGTTAAAATCTGCAATTTTATATGATTAGAACTTCATGTTTTTTTTTAATGTTATCGAAAAAAAATATAGGTTATAAATGATGTAGTTCTCTATGTCTAGTTAAAGACGAATAATATATATCTGCCATGTTAAACATGTAATATTTTTCTCCGATTGTTTTTATAGTGTGTTTAAGGAAAATTATCGCAATGAAAACTTTTCTTTTAATTGATAAAGGGAAATATTTTTATTTAATTTTTACGTCTCATTTTATTTATTAAATTTTTATCCCAGAAGCTGTTTTATAAATAGTTTCTCGGATTTGGCCAGAATTCATTCTTATTAGGCCACCCGCTACATTTTTCTCGGTAAGAGTGTTTTATCGACTTTCTGAGAGCTATGGTTTTATATTTTCTTTAAACATCTACCTATGATCATTGAGAACAAATCGTTTTATATAATTGAGATCAAACTTCACTTCAGGTAAGTTCGTTTGATCTTTCAATTATTTTTTAATGTCACTTTTACTGTCATTAAAAATGCTTTTTCAATTTCCGAGCAATTACTAATAGAGGGAGCGTGAAAACGAGTTTGTAGGCGATTGTTGTGTTAGCAACATCTGTAGAGGAAGTAAGGAAGCGGGCACAAGGGGGAAAGTAAACATCCTTCTTGTTCAGTGGCGTATCATTTATCTATAAAAACACACATTGTCCAAACGTTTTAATTGTAAAAAAACTACAAAATTTGCTAATTTTAAAATGAATACCGTCTTATATGTGTCTAATGCAGGAAATGAAACAAAATTACGGTAAATTTTTTCAATTGAAGAATAAAACCTTAAAATCAATTTTATTATAAATAAAAAATAATACAGGAGCGACTAGTTTCGGCCTTACAGGAACATCTTCAGGCCTACAATACAATAATCTTTAATTATTATAATAGGTTGGTCACTTACGAATAACATTAAATAGTATAAACCATAAAAATGGATCCATATTGTAGCGTTACAGTATTATAGAATTAAAGCTGTGAAATAAAAGAGCAGTGCAAACGTAACTAAAAATAAGAAAACTGAGTACGGAATCTACAAGAAAAGAGGTGAGAATGAGCAATTACAAATGCATTTATATTGCTCAGGATAACAAATAAAGCTGATAATGTAGTGGTATAGTCCCCGTCAAAGAAGGTCTGGATATGTTAAAGAGGACGGCGTTTTCTCTGTAAATCTGGAGAATGTAAGGATGAAGGGAAGACGAATCTTGCTGGCTCAGGTGTAGATGGCTAGAAAAAGAAGCGTGTAGATGAAAGCTCCAGTAAATATCGTCACTTTCGTCTAATTTTTTATTCTCACTCACCGTTTCGGCTTTATCTTCGAAATTCATTTTTAAAAGGAAATAAAAGGAATCATTTATACAAGCATATAATAAAACAACATGAATTCATTATATTTAATAAGCTAATAAACGTTTGTTTCAATGAAAAAACATATATGTGAATATAAAAAATATATAAATAGATAGGATTAATATCAAAATCAATTTGAAAATACAACAGATAATAAAATGAAATAAATTATTACAAGTACAAATAGAAAGTTAATAACATACCTTCTAAAAGTAACACATTTTAAGTAGATAAATGTTTAAAGAGTTTATTCCTGAACATAACTAATCTAACGTTTTTACCCTTTTTAATATTATGAGGGTTTTTGTAGTTGAAATGAAAATTATAATTTATTTTGGTCCTAATAAAAATTTAAACATAGGTTATCAAAGAGTAAAATACATAATAGAACTTTATAATCTTAAATTGTTATCAAAAATTAGTAATGGTAAAACTTCAAACAATAATTAGATTCTTAAACAAATTTCTAGTTTTTGTTTTGCAAAAGACTTTTCTGCCTTCTTCGGTTGCCTCTGCCACTTTTCTTTTAGTAGTTTCGAGGAAAATTTTCCTATGGAAACCAGTAGAACCATCAATTGGTTGGTAAAATTTTGATATTTTGGGTCTGGTAAGTCTTGTTAAACTTTCTTCTTAGGAAGCTGTAACCTAATGAAGAATAAACATTTAATGTTAGATCAAAAGCTCTTAATTGAGAATTATATTTGCAAAGGCCGTTTTAATAATATTTTCAAAAGTTCTTGAAATCGTTGTTAACAGAAACCTGCAAAAAAATATATCATTTTATTCCTAAAATATAAGATATCACACAATGCACGTTCATATAATATGCTAGAAAAATACTAGGTAGGTACTGAGACAATTTAAAAAAACTATTTCGAGAAACTCAACTTTTAATGTCATCATTGTACTTAATTTTTTTTATTTCTTGCTGTTTTAGTATTTTAGTAGCAGATGAATATAGTGTAGAAGTAGTGACAGGATTGATTATTATACTTCTTTCGTTGAAATTGCATTTTTTTTAAATATTTTCCTCCCCTGAGGTCTGTAATAAAAATGTTCACTAGCATAAAAAGTTATACAGGTAGTCACTTGTTAAATTCCTATATTTTGGAACCATGTATTTCTTTCTCATATCAAGAAAAGGAAACCTAAAAAAAATAACAATAATCTTTACAAAGATGTGATATTAAAATAATAATAATAAGTAATTAACCTTTACTATAATCATTATGAGACGGATAGAGACGAACTTAGCTGGAGTTTACTTGCTCTTAATTTTAATTTTTCGATAAGAAAATAAGAAAGTTTAATTTCAAATTAAAGGTGATTGCCTAATGCACCGCCTCTGATAATTAGGTTGCTTGAAGAAGCATTTTCAACAGGCCTTTTACACATAAAGCATGTTTTCATCATATTATTAGAGATAATAAATCTAAAATATACATTTACAACCCTTACAATGTTATTAATAATAATATTTTTCCGTAAAATACAAATAAGAAATTGACATGTGTCAGAACCCCGTCAGAACTGGCGCTATCAAACTTGTAACGCTGATAAGATAAGCCAATTACAGAAGAGGTATTTTCCCCCTCAGGGGGAGTAGATGTTGCTAACAAAATTTAGGGCGGGGAAGGGGGGAAGACTCCCTTTAGTAATAATTGCTCGGAGTTTTCAATAGCTTGTGCAGTAGAAATAAAATTACTGTGATAACATTTTATCATCAATTGGAGAAAAATATATTTATATTGTGATAATAAAATACAACAATTTTAATGTAAAAACCAAATGATTTTATGTTATAAAAAAAATGTAAAATGTTTAGAAAAAACTAGTTATGTATGTTGTAGAAGAATACCGTAGTGTGATTAGATAACAGTAAATTAAGGTAAAAAAATGTTTATCTATAAAAAATTTAACTGTTTTTGAAATACTGTTAATATTGATATTTTTTTTTAATTCAGTTTTCAAAAAATAGAAAATTAATTTTTATAATAATTTTGATGATTAAGTATTTCGTGCGAGAATTTTTGTATGTTTTTATTAACTCAATAACATATGAACCTAATCAAATGAAATCATCCAAATCTTAAACTTAATTCATGATTTTTAATTCAAATACTTCAAATATTTTTGAAAAGTTTTGATATAAATCACAAAACAAAATATCTTTCCATTTAAATGTATAAGTTTGAGGATCCTTTCCATTTTTCTCGTATGCTCAAAGAGAATCTGTAAATATTTATTTTAATATATTTTAAATTACCCGCTAAAAATTTTTTAAAAGCAAAAATTATGGTTCGCACAAAACGGAACATGATTTTATTATTATTATTAAATTTCAAAAAATACAAATTACCATTTAAATTTAAATTTATTTATTTTTTATATGAATGTAAATATTGGTCCCCTACCAATGTCCATTAGTTTATAATAAATAAATGTATATTTTATTATTAAAAATTCTAATAACTAAATTTAATTTAATTAAAAACAGATATACAAAAATTTTTAATTAACTTTAAATGATTGGTTTATCACGTTTTTTCTTAATTTGATTATATTAAATTAATACCCTAGAATTTAAATAAATATTTAAAAATATACATTTAAAAACAAAGTTCGAGATAATTCCTGCGAAACCTGAAGTCGGCCATCTTGCTTTTGTAAGCCAATACAATCGGAATTTGCGTTTTGTGCCAAATTTTAGATATACAGGGTGAATCATAAGTTGATACTTAACTGTGTATAGCAGTCGATAAAATTAAAAACTTTTTCAAACTTTAACAAAACTCAAAAATAAAAAAGACACAGAATTAAAAGATTTAAATGCGGCTTTGGAATTTAGCTGATTTTTTTAACTCAATTTATTGGTCAAGGGGTATATTGACAACCAAGAAGG